CACACACACACTGCACATCATGATCACACACACACACACACACACACTGCACATCATGATCACACACACACACACACACACACACACACACACACACACACTGCACATCATGATCACACACACACACACACACACACTGCACATCATGATCACACACACACACACACACACACACTGCACATCATGATCACACACACACACACTGCACATCATGATCACACACACACACACACACACACACACTGCACATCATGATCACACACACACACTGCACATCATGAACACACACACACACACACACACTGCACATCATGATCACACACACACACACACTGCACATCATGAACACACACACACACACACACACTGCACATCATGATCACACACACACACACACACACTGCACATCATGAACACACACACACACACACACACTGCACATCATGATCACACACACCAGGGTGTCTACAAGATATAAACAAGTTAAATTTAAGACTTTTAAAGACCTTTTTAATGCCACTTTGAATGAAATTTAAGACCAAACCTGTGATAGAAATACACATTATTTTACATACGTATATGTAATATTTAATGTTTAACCTAAGCAATTGAAGTAATTTAATATTAACTACTTGTTTATTGAACTAAAATCAATGTAACATTTACAATCGTGAGAATATTCAGCAAAATAGCTCCTGTCATGTTACTTAACTATATCTTATGATAAAAAAACAAAACAAAAAAACTATATCATATGTTATAAATAAAAAAACTCAACATTTTTTATTTTTACCTCAGTATGTTTCTTCTTTGAGTTTTTTTATGTGCTGTTATGCTTTAAAATCTCTCACACAGACAGGCAGCGTGAGTCTCAACAGCGCTGCAGAAATACATTACAGGGCTCCACATTAAGCCTTTTCATGTGCTTGTCCTTTTGACAATTCACTTGTCCGAGTAAAAAAGTTGCTTTGTCCGGATTTTTTTTTTTTGTGTTAATTTATTCTGAAGCAATATTCTCAGTGTTCAATCAGCTTTGATATTTAAATCGGCATATTGTTATATCTGCACCTTTAAAGGGCAAATTTTAAATTCCTAAATTTGATCAATAAATTAAATTATTTAGAATAATAAGACACTATAGGGCTGTTACCCTAGGTAGGGCTGATCAAATTAAATCATTTACACTTACAAATTACAATTGCATAAAATAATGTTATGAAATTGATTTAAATATACAAATAAGAAAAGTTGGAAAGAATGATACTACTTTTAAACATAACACTAAACCGCCAGTAGGTGGCGGCAGGCGACCGTCTTAATGAGCGAGTCATTGAGTCATTGATTCATTCATACAAACGATTCGTTTAAACGGTTGATTCATTCAAGAATGAGACAGATGTTAATGTATGGGTCATTGAATCTTTGACTCAACCGATTCGATCAAAATGCTGAATCATTCAGTAATGAAAACAGGTCGAGTGTTCCTGTGAGATGCGCCGTGGTTCTGCTGTGATTTTTGTTTGGAACTATTTTCGCTGCAGAAACAGAACAAAAACAGCCAATATTGCATCTAAAATGTAAGTGACTTAATTTTAACTGTTTATTGAACTGTTGTAGGAAATCAATGTCACATTTTCAATCGTGATGGTGTTCAGGAAAAATAATTCAGTTTGCTTAACATATGTTAAACATATACAACTCCACATTTAGATTTATTATTGGCAGTATGTTGTTAAATGAGTGTGTGTGTTGCGCTCATGTGTGTAGATCTCTCCTCGAGAGGCTGCGCGAGCGTCAACAGCGCAACCGTCAGTAATACATTTATTATCCACAATCGATCACAACTTACAATAAAAGTAATAAAATCAGAATCATTCTCTCGGTTTAGTCATTCCCTAGTTATTTTTGTTTTTGTCGATGTTCTCATCAGGCGGACAAGCGTTAATGTCGAGTCCTGCATTATCATTATCAATCACTGTTTATGTAATAAAATTAGAATCATTCTCACGATTCGATGCTTCACTGGTTATTAGACGGACATTGGGTCCGTCAGACTGGAGAAATTTTAGCGGTAATGTGACCAGAAATATTTAAGACCCATAGAATCTGAATTTAAGACATTTTAATACTTTTTAAGGCCTTTTACAGTTTTTTACAATCACTTTGCTACTATTTTCAGAACCTTGATGTCATTTTTCAAAACTCTAGACACAAAACTCACAGCGGTCATCACTTGTAACACAGGCTGTCTAATGTTCAAAACATTGCATTGTGCATTCACATCTTTAAAGAAATCTTGCACTTGCCAGTCATTGGTTCAAAAAACAAATTAACTGTGAAATACCATTGAAACATAACTATAGATCACCCACACACAAGCAACCGATAGTTTCACTGTGTCATTGTTCGTACAATCATTAAATATTGTAGAGCAAAATAGGTGATACAGGTTTCATTATGGTACTACATGTACAGTAAATACATCTCTGTAAAAGCACTGCAGTAGTAGAGAGAATATTACAGACACAGTGGAATCATTGTGAACAAAGTTTGTAATATATTGATGCAAAACACTACAGTACAATCACAACATGGTTTTTTGAATCAAAGCAAAAATAATTAGCTATGAAATAGAAAAGAAAAGACAGTACTGTAAAACATCAAATGCAGTGTTCCTCAACTTGCTGTAAGAAACTAAACAGGAGTGATTACTGTACTTCTACACTGTCATCAACTCTGTGTTGTGGATTTGGCCACAGGTTCTCATCTACATCACAATGGATGTTGGAAAATGACATCTTGGAAAAAACCTTTGGCATGGCGAGTCCAGGCCTGACACTGCTCTGCTGTGATTGGCAGAATTGGACACGCAGTTACAAGGGCCTGCATCTATACAGTACTGTACTGTCAATACTGTACATAGTCTGAAAAGGTGGTACAGTATTTGGCACCATAGACACAGTGTCTGATGAAGCATTACAGTATGATAAAATATTAGGCTACATCCATGGATATTGTAGTCTTATTGGTTCATGCTCCATGCTAATTGGTGACAATGAATCTCATTATCTTGAAACTTTCATGATTTACTGTAAACATGGAAGATTGTGTGTGCGTTTCCATACAACTATGCATTAAGAGTAATGCAACAGTTACTTATCATTTTGAGCAGTTGTATCAGCTGATAGTTAGATCATTGTAAGGAAATGAATAGACACTCATTTGAAATGTAATGTGTGAATTGCCTTTTGAAATAGTAGTACTTTGATGTTAAGTTGTGTCATATTGAACAGGTGATCTTTGTTGAATGAACAAATGATCTAAGTTTTATGTGTATTGTATCCAAGCAATTGAGAAAGGGTTCGAGTTTTGAAAAATGTGCATTTTGATCATTGGTTGTGAGTTTTGTGTCTAGAGTTGTGAAAAATGACATCAAGGTTCTGAAAATAGTAACAAAGTGATTGTAAAAAACTGTATTAGGAAAACTTTATTTAAGACATTTTAAGACTTTTTAAAGCTCCTGTAGGTAACTTTTGAAAACATGTATTTGCTAAAACTGTCATCATGTCCTGACAGTAGAATATGAGACAGATAATCTGTGTAAAAATCAAGCTCCTCTGGCTCCTCCCAGTGGTCCTATTGCCATTTGCAAGAAATACACGCTCCCGGTCAGAAACAACCAATCAGAGCCAGGAGGAGTGTCTTAGCAGTGTCAATCACGCTCGTGTACGCGCTGATCACACCCCTCTCTTGCACAGCGCGAGCGCCGGAGCGCGAGCCGTCGTTCAAACTCCAGATTGCCGGCGAGCTGCAGCTGTGCTTATGACGGAGAAACAACCTAAACTGCCAATTCTCGAGTGACACCTGCTCATAAAACAAAGAGGTAAAAGGAAAAAGACCGATGACGATAAACAAGCGAAAAAGAAAGAATTACACAGAGCCCATTGACTCGGTGTCAAAACTCTAGCCGCATAACATGTAGATAAAATGTTGCGCACTCTGCTAAGCAACAATTGAAACCTGCTAATTCACTGGCTTGTCATGTTGCTGAAATAATGTACTAGCACACCTTATCTAGCATTATATATCGCTAGAATAATTACTTACATACTGTAACGTTAGTTACCGTTATATTAACGTTATCTTACTAGCTATTTATAACTTATAGAAAGAGTGCAACGTTATAAAGTTACATGTAGGCTATTGCAAAATACATAATGATTTGAGGACCAAGTTTGTAGTCAAAGTATGGGTAGGCCATAGTCAATGTAAAGCTTATTGTTGACGTTTAGTCCCTATTAGTGAATGTGCCATATAACTTTTTATCCGCCGTTATGAGTGGCCCTGTTTACTAGCCTGCGCGTTCACGACAGGCTCCGCTGTGGAGGACGAGCTGTGGAGGGAGGGCTGTAGCGCAGCAGAGAGCAAGGGGGTGCAGGGACCTGTAAGTTGTGCTTGTTCAAATTTTCAGGCTAAGTCAACGTTTTCTCAAAACTCCCTACTGCAGCTTTAAGGACCCGCGGCCACCCTGACACACACACTAGTGCTGGGCAACGATTAATCGCATCCAAAATAAAAGTTTGTGTTTACATAATATGTGTGTGTGTGCTGTGTTTAATTATTTTGTATGTATAAATACACTCATATGCATGTATATATTTAAGAAATATTTGCATGTATATACTTTATATATTTAATAATATTATTATATATATAAATAACACATTTTTCTTTAAAGGGGACATATTGGATCAGTGAGATTGGCCTGTGTTGTTATTGGCGGAGTCTCTGAAGCTCGTGTGAAGACTCCGCCCTCTTCTGAACGGAGGCGGAGCTAAAGCTCATTTGCATTTAAAGAGACACACACAAAAACGTTTTTGCTCTCACTCAAAATGGGGCAAATTTGACAATCTATAATAAATGATCTGGTATTTTGAGCTATTTGATCACCACTTATCGTTGCACAGCCCTAACACACACACACACACACACACACACACCTGCAGCTGCCAGGCCACAGCTGATGTTGGGCGGCTCCAGCGGTGGACAGGCGACGGCACTGGTGTGTGTGCTGGTCTTCAGGCAGCGCAGGAACGGTGTGCTGCTCCCACTCAGGTAGTCTGAAGATTTATACTCGGCCACAGTGCAGTCGGAGAGCAGCGTCACACTCAGCCCTCGGGCCTGAACACAGCCGAACACCTGCACACAGAGCTGTGTGTGTGAGAGAGTGTGTGTGTGTGTGTGTGAGAGAGAGTGTGTGTGTGTGTGTGTCACACTCAGCCCTCGGGCCTGAACACAGCCGAACACCTGCACACAGAGCTGTGTGTGTGAGAGAGTGTGTGTGTGTGTGTGAGAGAGAGAGTGTGTGTGTGTGTGTGTCACACTCAGCCCTCGGGCCTGAACACAGCCGAGCACCTGCACACAGAGCTATGTGTTTGAGAGAGAGTGTGTGTGTGTGTGTGTGTGTGTGTGTGTGTGTGTGTGTGTGAGTGTGTGTGTGTGTGTTAGAGCTTCACCTTCTCCGTCCACTGGAACAGCTGGTCTTCAGCGACGTAACAGGAGCACTGGCATATCAGCACCTACACACACACACACACACACACACACACATTACAGGGTTTGTTTTGCATTGTTTTTCAAGCCAATGTATTATATAATGACAAGTGCAATAATTATGCAGTTTACATTACATTATATTATATATCTTATTATAAAATATTTAAAGAAATACGAGTAATTTTCACAGCATTCAAGTAAATCATACGGGCCTATATTTATCATTATTGTTATTATATTATATAGGATTCTAAGTAAAAATAGGCATCCACTGTAAGTTGTAATTGTTGAATTATTCATTTGTGAGATAAAAGCGTCTGCTAATAGAATAAATGTAAATGCAAGTGACATGAACAACACAGAATAAAGTCATTAATTGCACTTATTTGTATGAAAATTAATTGTCAGCACAAAATTGATGATCTTGACCGGTTTAGTCAGATTATGACCTTGTGATCGCTGAGACTATGTAATATATGTAATGTGTGGTAAGTAAGTGTGTGTGTGTGTGTGTGTGTGTGTGTGTGTGTGTGTGTGTGTGTGAGTGATCTCCTCACCTGCTTCTGCTGGTACAGGACACATGATGGCTCTCCGTCAGTTCGGCTCCGCTCGTTCCACAGGGAGACCCGGGCCACGGGCCGCCAGCCTCCAGAGCTCAGCACGTACGCCGAGACGAAGCCTGGGAAAACAGGAGAACATGAGAACAGGGGAACAGAGGAACAGGGGAACATGGGAAGAGGAGAACAGGAGAACAGAGGAACAGGAGAACAGAGGAACATGGGAAGAGGAGAACAGGAGAACAGAGGAACAGAGGAACATGGGAAGAGGAGAACAGGAGAACAGAGGAACAGGGGAACATGGGAAGAGGAGAACAGGAGAACAGAGGAACAGGAGAACAGAGGAACATGGGAAGAGGAGAACATGAGAACAGGGGAACAGAGGAACATGGGAATAGGAGAACATGGGAATAGGAGAACATGGGAAGAGGAGAACATGGGAACAGGGGAACAGAGGAACAGGGGAACATGGGAAGAGGAGAACAGGAGAACAGAGGAACATGGGAATAGGAGAACATGGGAAGAGGAGAACAGGGGAACATGGGAAGAGGAGAACAGAGGAACAGGAGAACATGGGAAAAGGAGAACAGAGGAACAGGAGAACATAGGAACAGGAGAACAGAGGAACAGGAGAACAGAGGAACATGGGAAGAGGAGAACATGGGAAGAGGAGAACATGGGAAGAGGAGAACAGAGGAACAGGAGAACAGAGGAACAGGAGAACAGAGGAACAGGAGAACAGAGGAACATGGGAAGAGGAGAACATGGGAACGGGAACATGGGAAGAGGAGAACAGGAGAACAGAGGAAAAGGAGAACAGAGGAACATGGGAAGAGGAGAACATGGGAACAGGGGAACATGGGAAGAGGAGAACATGGGAACAGGGGAACATGGGAAGAGGAGAACAGGGGAACATGGGAAGAGGAGAACAGGGGAACAGGAGAACAGGGGAACATGGGAAGAGGAAAACAGGAGAACAGGGGAACAGAGGAACAGGAGAACATAGGAACAGGAGAACAGAGGAACAGGAGAACAGAGGAACATGGGAAGAGGAGAACATGGGAAGAGGAGAACAGGAGAACAGGGGAACATGGGAAGAGGAGAACAGGGGAACAGGAGAACAGGGGAACATGGGAAGAGGAAAACAGGAGAACAGGGGAACAGAGGAACAGGAGAACAGGGGAACAGGGGAACAGGGGAAGAGGAGAACATGGGAAGAGGAGAACAGGGGAACATGGGAACAGGAGAACAGGGGAACATGGGAAGAGGAAAACAGGAGAACAGGGGAACAGAGGAAAAGGAGAACAGGGGAACATGGGAACAGGGGAACATGGGAAGAGGAGAACAGGAGAACAGGGGAACATGGGAAGAGGAGAACAGGAGAACAGGGGAACATGGGAAGAGGGGAACATGGGAAGAGGAGAACAGGAGAACAGGGGAACAGGAGAACAGGGGAACATGGGAAGAGGAGAACAGGGGAACATGGGAACAGGGGAACAGAGGAACAGGAGAACAGGGGAACAGGAGAACAGAGGAACATGGGAAGATGAGAACATGGGAAGAGGAGAACAGGAGAACAGAGGAACAGGAGAACAGAGGAACAGGAGAACAGAGGAACATGGGAACAGGGGAACATGGGAAGAGGAGAACAGGGGAACATGGGAACAGGGGAACATGGGAAGAGGAGAACAGGAGAACAGGGGAACATGGGAAGAGGGGAACATGGGAAGAGGAGAACAGGGGAACATGGGAAGAGGAGAACAGAGGAACAGGAGAACATGGGAAGAGGAGAACAGGGGAACATGGGAAGAGGAGAACAGGGGGACATGGGAACATGGGAAGAGGAGAACAGGAGAACAGAGGAACAAGAGAACATGGGAAGAGGAGAACAGGGGAACAGAGGAACAGGAGAACAGGAGAACAGAGGAACAGGAGAATATGGGAAGAGGAGAACAGAGGAACAGGAGAACAGAGGAACAGGAGAACATAGGAAGAGGAGAACAGGAGAACAGGAGAACAGAGGAAGAAGAGAACAGGAGAACAGAGGAACAGGAGAACATGGGAAGAGGAGAACAGGGGAACATGGGAACAGGAGAAAAGAGGAACAGAGGAACATGGGAAGATGAGAACAGGAGAACAGAGGAACAGGAGAACAGAGCCCTGTTCCTCTGTTCTCCTGTTCCTCTGTTCTCCTGTTCTCATCTTCCCATGTTCCTCTGTTCCTCTTTTCTCCTGTTCCCATGTTCACATGGGAAGAGGAGAACATGGGAACAGGAGAACAGGAGAACAGGGGAACATGGGAAGAGGAGAACATGGGAACAGGAGAACATGGGAAGAGGAGAACAGGAGAACAGGGGAACATGGGAAGAGGAGAACATGGGAACAGGAGAACATGGGAAGAGGAGAACAGGAGAACATGGGAAGAGGAGAACAGGGGAACATGGGAACAGGGGAACATGGGAACATGGGAAGAGGAAAACAGGAGAACAGGGGAACATGGGAACAGGAGAAAAGAGGAACGGGAACATGGGAAGAGGAGAACATGGGAACAGGAGAACATGGGAACAGGAGAACAGAGGAACAGGAGAACATGGGAAGAGGAGAACGGGGGAACATGGGAACAGGGGAACAGGGGAACATGGGAAGAGGAAAACAGGAGAACAGGGGAACATGGGAACAGGAGAACAGGGGAAAAGGAGAACAGAGGAACAGGAGAACAGAGGAACAGGAGAACAGAGGAGCAGGAGAACATGGGAAGAGGAGAACAAGGGAACTGAAGCTCAAGCTCAGGTTCTGCAGGATCTCTAGAGCGAAGCGTGATGTTTCTCACCAGTGGCGTTTGGACCCACAGCGATGATCAGATCCGTACACGACAGGGACCCGCTGTCTGTGTGTGAGAGCCAGTGCACATCGACACGCCTGAGACACACACACACACACACACACACACACACACACACACACAATCAATTACTTTCATTATCAACCGCAGCTCACATGAAGCTCATTACCGCCACAAAATCAGAGATGGTCCTCACTGCAGAACACGAAATCCAGGGGGATTTCCCACCTTACATATACCTAAACCTACCCATCTCCGCCCCCTGATCCCTAACCCCACCCCTAATCCCTAACCCCACCCCTGATCCCTAACCCCACCCCTAATCCTACCCATCTCCGCCCCCTGATCCCTAACCCCACCCCTAATCCTACCCATCTCCGCCCCCTGATCCCTAACCCCACCCCTAATCCTACCCATCTCCACCCCTTAGATCTGGATCCAACTCCGCCCCCTGGATCTCGTGTACTGCAATGAGGTGCTACTGCAAAATCATAATTATGAGAAAAAAGTAGTACATTTACATTTTTGCATTTGGCAGACGCTTTTATCCAAAACGTCTTACATTGCATTTGGTTACACATTTACATTCTTATCATTTCTTGCTTTCCCTGGGAATCGAACCTATGACATGACCTTGGCGTTGCAAGCGCCAGCGTGCTCTACTGTTTGAACTACAGGAAATAAAAGCCAGTAATTATGTATTACACATAAGAATAAAAAACAACCTTTTGTAAATCATAATTATGAAATTAAAAGTAGAAATTGGCATACTAAGATGAAATTAAGACAAAATGTTGAGATTGTGACATTAAAAGTTGTAGTTATGACATAGAGATTCATAATTTCAGCTTTTTATCTTGTAATTATGACACTAGAAATGTACATACTAAGAGGAAATCGTGACATAAAAAGTTGTAATTATGACAGTCATATAATTTAAACTTCTCAATTTAAACTTTTTAATGTCATTATGACTTGCATGTCAATTTTGATTTTGTGTCATAATTAAGATAGGCTATAATCAATCATATGGCCACATTAAGATATTGTAAACATTAACATGCTGCTTTGAAACTGTGTGAGTGTGTATTGATTGATTGATGATCTGTGACGTGATCAATACAGTGATGATCCATATTAATATTCAAACTCAAAAATTATTTTTTTGGCATGACTTTAAGTAATACAATAATGCCAAAGCTGGGAATATGTACATAAAATAATATAAAATAAAATATATATATAAATAACTCAAGTTTATTTCACAGCATCTTGACAGAAACACACGCGGCTGAAGTGAAACCGAAAGGATAGTGTTTTCATTTAGTCTCATAAAGCTGATGAAATAAGGCTTTAAATCAAATGTTACGGACGGACACAGTTTATTGCATTATGAATATATAATGCATGGTTTAACCTCTTCTCCTCTATTTCCCGTCGGATCTGTTCATCTTCCTCGTTTTCCCTCGTCATATCATCATACTCATCCTCCTCGACAGCTCTCGAGTACACCGACAACACCTCGCCGAAGAAAGTCGCCATAATAGAGGATTATTGAGATTAATAACAATGCGAGTCAAACCCGCTGTGTAACGATCGATGCTCCGCTACTAGCCCGACATACACCGGAAGTAGAACGGCAAGAGACTTTTATTTTGTTTTCAGTTTATGCATGAGGGGACAGTTTTTATTAATACAAAAAAAAAAAAAAAAAACTTGTGTGTATAATATACACAATTTAACAACAATACACACATTTTCAACATAATACACAAAAACGGCTATAACTTCCATCAAGGATTTTTTTCTGCTAACGAGAGAAAAAAAGAAATAGGAAAAAGGTATAAAATTAATTTATAGACATGAACAAGAGTATACAAATGAAAGGTTTTGTAAATTGAAGTCTTTCTACTTGGTTTCTTATTACTGTAAAACTTTTTAAATTCTTTAAAAATAAAAATAAAAAAAATCTTGGTTTCTTGTTGGTGAATTTACATTTGTGGATATACAGTTTGCTAAGAAGATAACTATTAAGGGGAATATTGTGTTATTCCGAAAGAGCTGTGATACAATTATGTATAATAATAATATATTATCAATAAAATATGTTATTATTATTAAAACTAAGATCACAATCAGAATCTCACTTTCATTGTCTCATCGTCAAACACAGACGTTAGTGTGAAAGGTTTATTTTTTATTACAATTCTCGCGACAACTGTCAGAATGCAAAGCAAATGTATTCAAATCTTTATTATAACCTTTATTATTTAAAATACTGTTTACCCAATATCCGATCTGAGATCAGTAGTTCATTACATTCGGAACATCAGAGCTGATCTGAGACCAGTAGAGTGTGTTCGGTACACTAGTGCTGATCTGAGACCTGGGGTGTATTCCAGAAAGCAAGGTTAACTTACCGTCAGATAAACCTTGAACTCTTGGTTGGTTAACCCCAAACTTGCTTACTCTGGGTATGTCGGTTCCAAAACACCTATGTTGAGTTAGTTTAATCAACCTCCTATTGGTAACCCAGAGTTAATGCGCGCGCACGACGAGTACATAAAGACATTTTCAATGGATCGCCGATTTCAGGAGTCACCATGGAAACCAAGGGAGAAAAAAAGCGAGCTACATACGATACTTCGGTGAAACTGAGTTGGAGGTTTTAATGCTTGCTTATGAAGACTATAGCCTAAGCCCATTATAAAAATAAATAAATAAATAAATAAAAAAGCAATACTGCTGCATCAGCAAAAGAAAGTTGGCTTGGCAAATAATAATGGACAGAGTAAATGCTTGAGTTTAGAAAATTATAAATTGGGTATTTTCCCTTTGTGAGTCACAATGAAAGGGGAAAATAGCCTACCCCATTCATAATTTGTGACGCAAAAATTCTTTGGGGGCATGTAGTAAAAATAGACAAGTATTTACTTGTTGGCCTCCATACATTTCTTAATATTACAGTAGTAATGCACATAATTGGCTAGTTATATGTTGGCTTCTAGTTTTATCAGGTGTAATCCTTCTGGAGCCAGAAGAAGTGTGAGCCAAGTCAAAATGAAACACAAAAACATTCTCCAGCAAGGTAATATTTTCTAAACTTACTAAACTTGTTACTGACATTTAATACTAATTTAGTATTAAATGTAATTTAGTTTTCTATGTAGCCAATAGAAAGAAGGGAGCTGAGGAGCTGGCACTGTCCCTTAATAAAGGGCCACCTGTGGTCGATGGGATTCCAGGGGGCAGTTCGTCAGACTCAGCTACCAAGACAAGTGGCTTGGTAAAATGTAGGTGTACCATATTAATACTTATGATTTATTGATGTTTACACTGTTTTTGTCAGTGTTTTAATAAATAAAATCATCAACACTGTCACCATTTTAAAAAGGCATTTTGAATTCATTTTACAGTCATTGATTCACTTGTGCAGTATGCATGTTGCTTTGACTGCATATGCTGTATACTGTAATCTTATTACTAGTACTTAGATGCTCCTAATGTCCTTCTTTATTAGTTGTATTTGCTTAAGAATATACATTGAGAATTGAATATGCATGATTATCATGGTTTAATTATCTTGCAGTTGCTGATGGCCACATTGTATTATTGGATCCTCCTGCAACACCACACTCTGTCACAGTTGTAAGTGATTATTGTCTTTAGGTTTCTGTTTGCTATACCAAGCATCCTTCCTTATTTTCACTGTAGGATGATGATGAAGAGACCACTTCTGCTGTGACAGAAACAGAAAATGTGGGGAGGCCCATAGAGGTATGATGCATAGAATGCATTCCCCCTATTTTACACAAGAGAATAAATAAATTGTCATAGTCATTTTACAGAATATGGCAGGAGATTTTAATACAGATGAGGGTCCATCTACCTCCACACAGAATCTTAGCAGTGTAAGAAATGTTCTGCAGTTATCCTTCCTCATTTAAATATTTGGTCTGTGTTTGTATTACAGACTTTTTCAGTCTTTCTAGTTGCCTGCCAAAAAGCTGTATAAGGTCCACCTTTAAAAGCAAATCAGAAAAAGTGACATGGAGATGGACCTTATACAGCTTCAAATGGAGAAGAAAAGGCTTAACCTAAAAAAGGCCAGACTTGAAATTGAATTGCTGGAGCACCAGCTTAAGGTGGGAAACAGTATGTAAACATTAATCTGTCATTTGTTGTTGAATGAAATCTAAAGCAATAAATACAAATGTCTTTTGTTACAGGAAATATAGAAACAATGAACAACACTTGACTGTTAACTGGTTTTAATTAAAGTGATTTTGGCAAATCATGTCTTGTACCACCCTGCCATCTCTTTGGTCTACTGGGTTCACTGGGGGTTCCTCTTGGCCACATATTACCTAGTTAGTGGGGACCAGTGATGAGGGTGATTTAATGGTTTAAACACCCAAACATTTAGCATCCAAAAAATCTATTGTCACCTGCACATTGATGCTATGCATTGACTTCCTATTTACATAGTCTCCTTCATTGATGGAAGGAGCTTTAATGTGAATGTGGGTTCCATCAATGCACCCAATCACATTTGGGAACCCTGAAATTGAAAGTTATATAATTAGAAACATTTAAAATGATTGTGACTGTATAAAGTAGGGTTAGATTAAGTAGTGCTATATGTAATTAAAATGGTCAGGGGACGCCATGCTCTGTCACCTCTCTGAAACAAACTAACCCTGGAACATAACCTGCTCCGGAGCAGGTTAAGTTCAGAGAGTGAGTTGCTATGACTACTAACATACCCTGAAAGTTACCTCCGTTTTTGGAACCGAAAGTTGAGGTTATCCGCTTACTTACTCTTAAACATACCCGGGTATGTCACATAACCTGCCTTCTGGAATACACCCCAGTAGAGTGTGTTCAGTTCGGTACACTATTGCTGATCTGAGACCAATAGAGTGTGTTCGGTACACTAGTGCTGATCTGAGACCAGTAGAGTGTGTTCGGTACACTGGTGCTGACGTCACTGAGTCTGATCTGAGATCAGCGGGAAACTCCGTCGGTCTGATGCTGTAAACAAACACTGAGGCTCTGTTTACTCGGGCGATATCTATGAAATCTAAAGTATGGAAATAAGGCTCCCGATTTCCACTCACAGTTATGTTTCATTGTGTGTGTCTGTGGTGTTTATTATCGCGGGTAAGTTCTGTTTGATTTCTCTGAGGCGTTTTGACGTCATATGTGAGCGTTAGCGCAGCTCCGTGCTAGCATGCTAGCTTCAGTTAACATCAATAATTATCTGGTGATTTTATATCAATATCACATGAAGTGAGTCTATAAAGAACAGCTCTTGTTTTGTGTTAATTTAATGTTCCGAAGCAGCTCGTTTAAATACATCCAGTGTGCGTGTGTTTAAAGTGTTTCTCAGATCAGGAAGTGTAGCTCGTATTGTTCTGTTAGCACATTAGCCTCCCTTATTACTATTACATTATATCATATCATATCCTATCCTATTATTTACTCACGAAAACGTTCCTTTGATTAATAACTCACATAATTTAATCACGTACTATTGTATTTTTTAATGTTTTAGGTTTAATTAACGTTAGATCAAACCTGAATTATCAGCTTGAGTTTCCTTTAATAAACCAGGAGACACGAACAATAAAGACTCAACTCTGAATAAATTATTTTATTTCGTGTATTTTAATGAGCATCTGTTGTACATCCTTAAATAACACAATTTACATGGTCTGTTTTTATATAGTATCCTTTATGTCTGGGATTAAAGTGATTTTTTAAAGTACTAAAATATACCATGGTATTGTTTGAAGAGGTCACGCCTGTATGTATTATTCATTGACATGTTATATAAATATAATATAGCATGTAGGCATTGACGCTAATTTTTACGATTCGATTCACAAGATTGCATTTAAATTCCAGTTTAGATTAATTTGGATTTTATTTCAAGTACAATACATGTCCACTTTTCTCAAGGAAAAAATAAATAGCACATTCGTTCATTTTTAGTGTACTAATAACATTATAATAACTTTCTATTGACATAATTATGTTCCTACTTCAATTCGTTATTTGAAATCTAAACATTTAACCCTAGGGTGCTCTTCGTGTGGTGGTCAAAAATAACCGAATTATTATTTTATTTTTATTTCAGTCAAAGGAATGTACTATATTTTACTTTGATAATGTTTTTTAATTTAATATTTTAGGGGATTTTATTGTACTAAATTATATTTACGCTGTATTTATAATCCATTTATTCCCTTTTTGAGCATAGACCTGAAAATTAAATTTCCAACTTAAACTGTGGTAAATCTTGAATGCTTTAAAGGGGACGTATTATGCCCTTTTTCACAAGATGTAAAACAATTATTTGATGTCCCCAGAGTGTGTATGTGTGAAGTCTTAGCTCAAAATACCCCACAGATAATTTTTTATAGCAAAGCGCACCGTTTTAGTGTGTTTCCCTTTAAATGCTAATGAGCTGCTGCTCCGCCCCACTTATGTATTTATGTACATTTACATTTATTCATTTAGCAGACGCTTTTATCCAAAGCGACTTACAAATGAGAACAATAGAAGCAGTTAAACTATCAGTAGGACAACAATACGTAAGTGCTATAACCCCTCTCAGTTTAAATTTAGTGCAGTTTTTTTTTTTTTTTTATTTTTTTTTTTATAGAATATAAGAGAAGAGAAAGTGTTAATTCTACTGAATCAAGTGCTGTTTTTTTTTTATAGAATAGAAGAGAAGAGAAAGTGTTAATTCTACTGAATCAAGTGCTGCCGAAAAAGATATGTCTTCAGCATGGTTTATGTAATACATAAACATACCTGAACTCCTGTAGCGGACATGAAACTAAAGCCGCATTCTGAAAACAGGTCGTTGGGAGACACTGCTTATGATTTATGGGGATTTAAAAAAAAAGGAGTGGGTGTATTTTTTAGGGGTGGGGGAAAAAATCGATTCTTAGATGCATCGCGATGCGGACGTGGACGATTCTGAATCGATTCACAATTGTCAAAAAATCGATTTTCAAAAAAAAAAAAAAAAAAATTTAGATATATATTTATAATAACGTAATATTGACGGAACGCGAAAGACGGAACTCTGAAGCGCGGAAGTGCAGTGGCCGGACCGTCTGTGGCGTGCACGTAACAGACGCGGACGCGATGGCTGAGCGCCAAATCCAAACACCCTCCTCGTTAAAAGCTGACGTGTGGAAATATTTTGGCTTCTGACGTTGAAGGGGGAAAGGAGCTGGACAAGAGCCACACTAGTTGTAAGCTTTGTAGAGTAAAAGTAAAATATTTCGGAAACAAGACACATATGAGAAGCCAAATGACACGTTTCCAGCCAGAGGAGGAAAAACACTCGGCTGTAACGTTACCGGTCGTTGTTATATTATTAATTTACTACAAATATGCTCCTGCTAGTTCAGACACACATGTATTTTCCTGTTGGTTCTTTGCAATGTTAATAAAATATATTGTACGTTAATTCTTTATGGGTCATTACTTTCTACTTTTAAAGCAAAGTATTTATAGTCACACACACACAAAAAAAAGATTCTGATAATCGATTTAGCATCGAATCGCAGCCCTCTGAATCGTAATCGAATCGAATCGTGAGGTGCCTAGAGATTCCCACCCCTAGTATTTTTATCACTGTAGGGTGGTTGTGTGTACACACACTGCCAACACACATTAATGTCCAAACACCATGCAAAAGTGAATTTTGAATAATAGGTCCAGACTGAAGTTTGATCTCTTTTCAAAGACGACACTTGGCAGATTATTGCTGAAGTGAAAAAAGTTTTAAAAAGTGAACAAAAAAAGTTACAGAATTTTATGTTTATTGTCATGAAAAATGCACAAAAATACTATTTTAAATTTTTATATGAAATCTATATTTTCAAAAACACATTTTACTCTAAAACTGCTAGAAAATCAAAGGCATAAATTTAAACTGAGTTTGATATATCTAAAATAATGAGCGTTCAGTGAGAGTGTGTTCGGCTGCAGTTCCACACGCTTCCACTAGAGGAAACTCTCATTCATTTCCAGTGCGCGTTTCTGACCGCGAGGAGCACAAGTGTGACTGTTGCTTTCAGGACCATTAAACCTGTTCACATCATGGCCATGATTTATGTGTGTGTTCACACAGCAAGTGCCAAACCCTTTACCAAGATTCGTACCATTCCGATGAAGTAAAAAAAAAAAGAAAAACAGAAATTGGTCAAAAATGACAGAAGAGCACCAGAGAGTTAAAATAATTTTTATCAATTAAAATATTTTAACCCAGCTGTACAAGCATGAAATAATACCAGATTTAAACCACAGTCGTGTTCCTGTAAGATGTGTTGATGTATGAGTGGTGTGTGTGTGTGTGTGTTCCAGGCGTGTCGGCGATAGACGTGTTCACCCCAGCCGAGGTGTTCGTGGAGAACGGGACCACAGCGACTCTGAGCTGTAGCTTTAAGTCTAAAGAGGTGGTCGGGAGTGCGGCTTCGGTGACGTGGTACTTCCTCGCGGAGGGGGACACGGGACAGCCCACTTCAGTGAGTCTTCATCTCCAATGTGTGACGCTGGACCACAAAACCAGTCGCACGGGGATATTTGTGGCAAAAGCCAACAATACACAGTATTAGGGGTGGGCATTTTTCCAAAATATTATATTCGAATATTCGGGTTCATAAAAATATACCGTGAAATACATTTTTCATAATGTATGTATAATGTATAATACATCACAAACTTCAAAGGCGATTTTCTCAATGTTTTTGATTATTTTTGTGCACCCTCAGATTCCAGATAGTTGTATCAGCCCAATATTGTCCTATCTTAACAATAAACCGTACACATCACATCCATAACAGGGTTTTTGTCACATCCATAACGTTGGTTTTTCCTCATAATACACTTCATAAAAATATATATATTTTAAACATTGATATTTTTATGTTCAGCTAAGACCCCTTCATCATGTGAATAGCAATATTTATACATTGGTTTTAAAAGTTTACAGACTTTAAAGGAAATCGAACAGTATACCAAAAACTCTTTCCCGTCACATCCATAACGCATGCATATTTTCCTTTTTGGGGGGTGCTTAAATATATTTTAGAAAAATATATTTTGCCTGTCAATTCCCCAGATTGAGTGCTCTGAGAATATGCATTTCCAATTTAAATATTGTAATATAAGAAGTTTTTTTTTTTTCTGAGACATTTCACCTGTCATTATGAGTTCAAATGTCACATCCATAACGCTGGAATTACCCTACATCAATGTAAAGCTTATTTATTCAGCTTTCAGGTGACTCAATTTCAGTGAGCCATGTGACTGGTTTTGTGGTTCAGGGTCACATGTATGTCTATAATATCAGGCATCATGTGATCATCATGGCTGTGTTCGTCCTGCACAGATCTTCTATCACGCTGGGGGGAGGCCGTTTCCGGGCTCGCTCCCGCAGTTTAAGTCCCGTGTGGAATGGGCCGGAGACATGAACAAGAAGGACGCGTCGATCCGCGTGATCCAGATGCAGTTCAAGGACAACGGGACCTTCAGCTGCGACGTGAAGAACCCACCGGACATCACCGGACAGATGTCCGTCACTAAAGTCAGAGTCGTCATGAGAGGTGAGCGCACAAGAACAGATGTGGGCGGGGCTTGATTGTGTCTGTGGGGAGTTGATTGGATGGTTGTGGTTTGCTATTGGCTGATCTCCTGTGAGTGACAGGTTGCCCCGCCCACATCATCAGAGAAGAGGAGATGCTGAAGAGCAACTGATTCTGATTCAACATTATTAACACAATAATGATGTGCACATATAGATCATTTAGAATGTGTGACGGTGTCTGAACAGCGGTGTGTGTGACGGTGTCTGAACAGCGGTGTGTGTGACGGTGTCTGAACAGCGGTGTGTGTGACGGTGTCTGAACAGCGGTGTGTGTGACGGTGTGAACAGCGGTGTGTGTGACGGTGTGAACAGCGGTGTGTGTGTGACGGTGTCTGAACAGCGGTGTGTGTGACGGTGTCTGAACAGCGGTGTGTGTGACGGTGTCTGAACAGCGGTGTGTGTGACGGTGTCTGAACAGCGGTGTGTGTGACGGTGTCTGAACAGCGGTGTGTGTGACGGTGTCTGAACAGCGGTCTGTGTGACGGTGTCTGAACAGCGGTGTGTGTGACGGTGTCTGAACAGCGGTGTGTGTGACGGTGTCTGAACAGCGGTGTGTGTGACGGTGTCTGAACAGCGGTGTGTGTGACGGTGTGAACAGCGGTGTGTGTGACGGTGTCTGAACAGCGGTGTGTGTGACGGTGTGAATAGCGGTGTGTGTGACGGTGTGAACAGCGGTGTGTGTGACGGCGTCTGAACAGCGGTGTGTGTGACGGTGTCTGAACAGCGGTGTGTGTGACGGTGTCTGAACAGCGGTGTGTGTGACGGTGTGAACAGCGGTGTGTGTGACGGTGTCTGAACAGCGGTGTGTATGACGGTGTCTGAACAGCGGTGTGTGTGACGGTGTCTGAACAGCGGTGTGTGTGACGGTGTCTGAACAGCGGTGTGTGTGACGGTGTGAACAGCGGTGTGTGTGACGGTGTCTGAACAGCGGTGTGTGTGACGGTGTGAATAGCGGTGTGTGTGACGGTGTGAACAGCGATGTGTGTGACGGTGTGAACAGCTGTGTGTGTGACGGTGTCTGGACGGTGTGAACAGCGGTGTGTGTGACGGTGTGAACAGCAGTGTGTGTGACGGTGTGAACAGCGGTGTGTGTGACGGTGTCGGAACAGCAGTGTGTGTGACGGTGTCTGAACAGCGGTGTGTGTGACGGTGTCTGAACAGCGGTGTGTGTGACGGTGTGAACAGCGGTGTGTGTGACGGTGTGAACAGCGGTGTGTGTGACGGTGTGAACAGCGGTGTGTGTGACGGTGTGTGTGACGGTGTCTGAACAGCGGTGTGTGTGACGGTGTCTGAACAGCGGTGTGTGTGACGGTGTGAACAGCGGTGTGTGTGTGACGGTGTGAACAGCGGTGTGTGTGACGGTGTCTGAACAGCGGTGTGTGTGACGGTGTCTGAACAGCGGTGTGTGTGACGGTGTCTGAACAGCGGTGTGTGTGACGGTGTCTGAACAGCGGTGTGTGTGACGGTGTGAACAGCGGTGTGTGTGAGCGGTGTGTGTGACCGTGTGAACAGCGGTGTGTGTGACCGTGTGAACAGCGGTGTGTGTGACGGTGTCTGAACAGCAGTGTGTGTGACGGTGTGAACAGCGGTGTGTGTGACGGTGTGAACAGCGGTGTGTGTGTGACGGTGTCTGAACAGCGGTGTGTGTGTGACGGTGTCTGAACAGCGGTGTGTGTGACGGTGTCTGAACAGCGGTGTGTGTGACGGTGTGAACAGCGGTGTGTGTGATGGTGTGAACAGCGGTGTGTGTGACGGTGTCTGAACAGCGGTGTGTGTGACGGTGTGAACAGCGGTGTGTGAACAGCGGTGTGTGTGACGGTGTCTGAACAGCAGTGTGTGTGACGGTGTCTGAACAGCGGTGTGTGTGACGGTGTCTGAACAGCGGTGTGTGTGACGGTGTGAACAGCGGTGTGTGTGACGGTGTCTGAACAGCGGTGTGTGTGACGGTGTGAACAGCGGTGTGTGTGACGGTGTCTGAACAGCGGTGTGTGTGACGGTGTGAACAGCAGTGTGTGTGACGGTGTCTGAACAGCGGTGTGTGTGACGGTGTGAACAGCGGTGTGTGTGACGGTGTCTGAACAGCGGTGTGTGTGACGGTGTCTGAACAGCGGTGTGTGTGACGGTGTGAACAGCAGTGTGTGTAGATGTCTGAACAGCAGTGTGTGTGACGGTGTCTGAACAGCGGTGTGTGTGACGGTGTCTGAACAGCGGTGTGTGTGACGGTGTGAACAGCGGTGTGTGTGACGGTGTGAACAGCGGTGTGTGTGACGGTGTCTGAACAGCGGTGTGTGTGTGACGGTGTCTGAACAGCGGTGTGTGTGTGACGGTGTCTGAACAGCGGTGTGTGTGACGGTGTCTGAACAGCGGTGTGTGTGACGGTGTCTGAACAGCGGTGTGTGTGACGGTGTGACGGTGTGAACAGCAGTGTGTGTGACGGTGTCTGAACAGCAGTGTGTGTGATGGTGTCTGAACAGCGGTGTGTGTGACGGTGTGAACAGCGGTGTGTGTGACGGTGTCTGAACAGCAGTGTGTGTGACGGTGTCTGAACAGCGGTGTGTGTGACGGTGTCTGAACAGCGGTGTGTGTGACGGTGTCTGAACAGCGGTGTGTGTGACGGTGTCTGAACAGCGGTGTGTGTGACGGTGTGAACAGCGGTGTGTGTGACGGTGTCTGAACAGCTGTGTGTGTGACGGTGTGAACAGCGGTGTGTGTGACGGTGTGAACAGCGGTGTGTGTGACGGTGTCTGAACAGCAGTGTGTGTGACGGTGTGAACAGCGGTGTGTGTGACGGTGTCTGAACAGCGGTGTGTGTGACGGTGTCTGAACAGCGGTGTGTGTGACGGTGTCTGAACAGCGGTGTGTGTGACGGTGTCTGAACAGCGGTGTGTGTGACGGTGTGAACAGCGGTGTGTGTGACGGTGTGAACAGCGGTGTGTGTGACGGTGTCTGAACAGCAGTGTGTGTGACGGTGTGAACAGCGGTGTGTGTGACGGTGTCTGAACAGCAGTGTGTGTGACGGTGTCTGAACAGCTGTGTGTGTGACGGTGTGAACAGCGGTGTGTGTGACGGTGTCTGAACAGCAGTGTGTGTGACGGTGTGAACAGCGGTGTGCGAGTAATGGTGTGAACAGCGGTGTGTGTGACGGTGTCTGAACAGCGGTGTGTGTGACGGTGTGACGGTGTGAACAGCAGTGTGTGTGACGGTGTCTGAACAGCAGTGTGTGTGACGGTGTCTGAACAGCAGTGTGTGTGACGGTGTCTGAACAGTGGTGTGTGTGACGGTGTGAACAGCGGTGTGTGTGACGGTGTGAACAGCGGTGTGTGTGACGGTGTCTGAACAGCAGTGTGTGTGACGGTGTCTGAACAGCGGTGTGTGTGTGACGGTGTCTGAACAGCGGTGTGTGTGACGGTGTCTGAACAGCGGTGTGTGTAATGGTGTGAACAGCGGTGTGTGGGACGGTGTCTGAACAGCAGTGTGTGTGACGGTGTCTGAACAGCAGTGTGTGTGACGGTGTCTGAACAGTGGTGTGTGTGACGGTGTGAACAGCGGTGTGTGTGACGGTGTCTGAACAGCAGTGTGTGTGACGGTGTCTGAACAGTGGTGTGTGTGACGGTGTGAACAGCAGTGTGTGTGACGGTGTCTGAACAGCAGTGTGTGTGACGGTGTCTGAACAGCAGTGTGTGTGACGGTGTCTGAACAGTGGTGTGTGTGACGGTGTGAACAGCGGTGTGTGTGACGGTGTGAACAGCGGTGTGTGTGACGGTGTGAACAGCAGTGTGTGTGACGGTGTGAATAGCGGTGTGTGTGACGGTGTCTGAACAGCGGTGTGTGTGACGGTGTGAACAGCGGTGTGTGTGACGGTGTCTGAACAGCAGTGTGTGTGACGGTGTCTGAACAGCGGTGTGTGTGTGACGGTGTCTGAACAGCGGTGTGTGTAATGGTGTGAACAGCGGTGTGTGGGACGGTGTCTGAACAGCGGTGTGTGTGTGACGGTGTCTGAACAGCGGTGTGTGTGACGGTGTCTGAACAGCGGTGTGTGTGACGGTGTGACGTTGTGAACAGCAGTGTGTGTGACGGTGTCTGAACAGCGGTGTGTGTGACGGTGTCTGAACAGCAGTGTGTGTGACGGTGTCTGAACAGCAGTGTGTGTGACGGTGTGAACAGCGGTGTGTGTGACGGTGTGAACAGCGGTGTGTGTGAAGGTGTCTGAACAGCGTTGTGTGTGACGGTGTGAACAGCGGTGTGTGTAATGGTGTCTGAACAGCAGTGTGTGTGACGGTGTGAACAGCGGTGTGTGTGACGGTGTCTGAACAGCGGTGTGTGTGACGGTGTGAACAGCGGTGTGTGTGACGGTGTGAACAGCAGTGTGTGTGTGACGGTGTGAACAGCGGTGTGTGTGACGGTGTGAACAGCGGTGTGTGTGACGGTGTGAACAGCAGTGTGTGTGACGGTGTCTGAACAGCTGTGTGTGTGTGACGGTGTCTGAACAGCAGTGTGTGTGACGGTGTCTGAACAGCAGTGTGTGTGACGGTGTCTGAACAGCGGTGTGTGTGACGGTGTGAACAGCGGTGTGTGTGACGGTGTGAACAGCGGTGTGTGTGACGGTGTGAACAGCAGTGTGTGTAGATGTCTGAACAGCAGTGTGTGTGACGGTGTCTGAACAGCGGTGTGTGTGACGGTGTCTGAACAGCGGTGTGTGTGACGGTGTGAACAGCGGTGTGTGTGACGGTGTGAACAGCGGTGTGTGTGACGGTGTCTGAACAGCGGTGTGTGTGTGACGGTGTCTGAACAGCGGTGTGTGTGTGACGGTGTCTGAACAGCGGTGTGTGTGACGGTGTCTGAACAGCGGTGTGTGTGACGGTGTCTGAACAGCGGTGTGTGTGACGGTGTGACGGTGTGAACAGCAGTGTGTGTGACGGTGTCTGAACAGCAGTGTGTGTGATGGTGTCTGAACAGCGG